TTTCTAAAATTAAGGTGTTTGGCCAAGCTTTTGAAAGGAGGACAAGAAGAAGCAGTTTTTGAGAAGCAGAAAAAAAGTAGTTTCTCTCCGAAAGCATCTTTTTTTAAAAGCACTTTTGAGAAAAATACATTTAAAAATACTTTTTAAAAGCTTGGCCAAACGCTAATTGCTACTCAAAAGTATTTTTCAAACTAAGTAGCCAACTTTGAAAAACACTTTTGAGAAAAACACTTATTAAAATAAGCTAATTTTACAAGCTTGGCCAAACTAGCTATAAGCTTCTTCCGAGAGATAGAAAAACTATTTTTGCTTTTGCTTAAAAGCACTTTCCTATTTTGGCCAAATACTTTAAACTTTTGAAAAGGTGCTTTTTAGGCCCCCAAAAAAATGCTTTTAGTCTCTTAGAAACATGGCCAAACAAGCTCTACACCTTAACTAAAGATATTTCATGTTTCTCATGTTATATGTCATATGGATGTAAATTTGTCTAGACCGTGATATTCTTAAGCCTAAATACATAAATGTTCCCTAGAATTTGTTAAGATATTTAATTTAGACACCTAAACTGAGGACATAACCTTTTGAACGTAGATAGAAAGTGTGTGGACTTGAGGCATATACCATTGAAGCATCTCTGATTTGAATTCTATGATATGAGTCCTTTTGCCTACAAGTCTCTAAAAGGTAGAATCTGTTGGGTTTTTTAAAGTATATTAATGCTTAAAAGAGGGTGAATGAAAATTGAAGGAAAATAAAATATTTGAGTTTCATTTGAGATTCCCTCCTTTATGAAGGGACATTGTCCCATATTGGAAGAGGAAGAGGTTTTTTATGGGTATATAAGCAATTGCTCTTCTTCTAGCTCTTAAGAAGTTGAGAAGAAGGCAAGCCTCGCGCCGTCATCGTCGTCGCTTGCTTGGCTTGGATTCGGATTCTGTCAGTCGATTGATTGATTAATTTTTTGGACCAAATTTATTTGTTAATAGTAAATATTAACACAAATGTTATTAAATATCCGTTTTAATAACAGAATATTAATATTAAATCCAATAATATTAATAACAAATCTAACATTGGCTATAATACAAGGCCATTCTCTCCGAATTTCCATACGATTTTCTGAGTTTCTCCTCCTCCTTCAGCATAGTTTTAACTTCAAGGAAAGCGACAGTAAGTGTGATTTGCTACCGAACTTTGTGTTCGCTGAAACACTGGGGTTTGAAGTACCACTACACCAATGTGTAATTCGTTCTATCCAGGGAAGAAATAATCCATAACCTTGGGTGCTAGGAGTGGATTAAATTCCTTAAGGAAATATTGTGAATTCAGTGGGCTCGGATTAACTTTTGTATCTTTCGTTTATATTTCTATTTATGTTATTTTTTTTCTCCAGAATTATTCTACAAATACAGTATACTAACAAACTTAAGGAATTTAATTTGTATTCTCTATTTGTGTTATATTCACTGTTCTAGAGATTAAAATCTTTGTGGTTTTCGACTCCGTTGGAGATTAAAATCTACGTGATTTTAACATTTTGCTTGTGTCATTCTTTTATAGAAATGATTAATGATAATGAAAACCAAGATGTTCCGATGGTGACTGCCAATGCGTCGACAAGCCATACACCGGCATTGGCACCAGCGGAGAAACCCGAAAAATTTTTCGGGTTAGATTTCAAGCGGTGGCAGTAAAAGATGTTCTTCTACTTGAGTACTTTAAGTCTGCAGAAGTTCATTAAAGAAGATGTTCCTGTTCTTCCCGAAGGAACTCCAGAGAATGAACGCTTTCTCGTGATTGAGGCGTGGAAGCATTCTGATTTTCTGTGCAAGAATTATGTTCTTAGCGTACTGGAGGACCTGTATAATGTCTACAGTGGCGTGGAGACATCAAAAGAATTATGGACTGCGCTTGAAAAGAAATATAAAACTGAAGATGCCGTGTTGAAGAAATTCGTTGCCGCTAAGTTTTTGGACTACAAAATGGTAGATAGCAAGTCCGTTATTACCCAAGTCCAGGAATTGCAAGTGATTATTCACGATCTCGTTGCTGAAGGTATAAATCGAATTAATACTGATGTTGAAAGTATGTAATTTTAGTAATTTTACTAACAAAATTTTCATTGAAGGTCTTGTCATCAATGAAGCATTCCAAGTAGCAGCGATAATTGAGAAGTTGCCTCCTTTGTGAAAGGACTTCAAAAACTACTTGAAACACAAACGCAAGGAGATGTCCCTTGAAGATCTCATTGTTCGGTTGAGAATCGAAGAGGACAACAAAGCTGCTGAAAAGGGAGGCCATGGAAACTCAACAATAATGGGAGCAAACATTGTTGAGGATGCTTCTTAAAATAAGAGAAAGAGGAAGCACGCTTCTGGACCGAAATGCAACCCAAGCAAGAAATGGTTCAACGGAAATTTCTACAACTATGGGAAAGCTGGGCACAAATCTACGGAGTGCCGTGCTCTGAAGAAAGACAGAAGAAGGGTCAGGCAACATGGTTGAAAAGCATGAAGATGTTGAAGACTTGTGTGCTATGCTTTCTGAATGCAACCTGGTGGGAAATCCTAAGGAGTGATGGATTGATTCTGGAGCCACTCGCCATGTTTGTGCTGTTAGGGAAGCCTTTGCAACATATGCTCCTGTTGGACCCGAAGAGACTCTTTCTATGGGAAATGCTGCAACAGCCAAGATTGAAGGATGTGGGAAGATCTTTCTGAAGATGACTCCTGACAAGGTGGTGACTTCGAACAACGTCCTTCATGTTCCCGAGATTAGAAAGAATTTAATCTCTACCGGACTTCTTGTTAAGAACATTTTAAGTGTGTTTTTGTATCTAGTAAGGTTGTAATTAGTAAGAACCAAATGTTTGTAGGAAAAGGTTACCTCACTGAGGGCCTTTTCAAGCTAAATGTAATAGTTGTTGAGAATAAAAATAAAATTTCAGCTTTGTCTTACTTACTTGAGTCAAATGAATTATGACATATATGTTTGGGTCATGTCAATTATAAAACCTTGCGGAAAATGATTAACTTGAGTCGCTCGCTCGGCTTGGCTTCGGCTTCGGCTTCGGATTTGGATTTGGATTTGGTCAATTGATCGATTGATTGATTAATTTTTGGACCAAATTTATTTGTTAATAGTAAATATTAACACAAATATTATTAAATATCCGTTTAAATAACATAATATTAATATTAAATTCAATAATATTTATAATAAATCCAACCATTTTCCATTTTTCCGTTTTCTGTTTTTGTAACAGAAAATAACCACCCTCTTCAATTCTCCCGGTTTATTGTTGAGCAAATAATCATTTATGTTATGACATTTATGCTATGGCCGTTTTGCATAAACAGCCATTCTGAAGAGTTGCACTTCTTCAGATTTCACCCCAACATTGGTTATAAATACAAGTCCATTCTCTCAGAATTTTCATACGATTTTCTGAGTTTCTCCTCCTTCTTCTGCATAGTTTTAACTTCAAAGAAAGCAACAGTAAGTGTGATTTGCTACCGAACTTTGTGTTCGCTGAAACACTGGGGTTTGAAGTACCACTACACCAGTGTGTAATTCCTTCTATCCTGGGAGGAAATAATCCATAACCTTGGCTTGGGTACTAGGAGGAGATTAAATTCCTTAAGGAAACACTGTGAATTCAGTGGGCTCGGATTAACTTCTATTTTGTTTATATTTTTGTTTATATTATTTTATCTTCTCCAGAATTATTACTAACTACTGTTTACTACCCGAATCTATTCTTAGTCAAAACACCGTTCTGGCTTTGTGCTGCCTCTGAATCGTTTGAACAAGTCAAATTTGTCGTGATAATCTATTTCGGGCTTTATTATAGCACATAATCTTGGCACTCTGAATGTGCTTCGTTAGCTATGCTGGTTTTAGCGGTGTGAAATGAGGGGTTTTGTTGAATTTGAACGTTTAAAATGGATTTATGGGCATGTCACTAATAAGTTAATTGAAGAATTAACCTAAATCGTCACATACTATATATATATATATATATATATATATATATATATATATATATATATATATATATATATATATATATATATATATATACCGAGCCGGAAAAGTAAATAGTGAATTTATGAAGCCAACCAATCCAATTTTAATAGAATATATTTTTTTGTTTTCTTATTATTTGTTTAATTATTTAATATTTTTTCTTTATTGTTATATTATATTAAACATATTAAAGACACAAATATTTTTTTATAAATATATTAACAAGTTTCTAATGGGTCAACTTATGCTACATATTTAGCTAAAATCAGCTCAACTTTTAGATGAGTTGAGACTTGGACTATATCTAAATTGACTCGCGGTAAATATATGTCCAGATCAACCAACCCAAACTTGGGTGTCATATTTTCATGAGCTAATATTGTATCGTGTTAAATACTTTAACTTGAGATGGCAACACAAACAACGACTAATATACCTCAATCTTAAGCAAGCCATGCCGATTATATATAAAATTATTTTTATCCATGTCCAGTTATTTTAAGTTAATATCCTATACTAGGAGTATTTATTATATTAATTAGTTTTATGTTAATGTCAATTTATCACAATTCTTCTAAATCGCGTTTGGGACCAACGATATGAGTAAGTTAACAGCCGCTGAAATCTAACCTGGTAATATGATGAATTTTATTTTGGGTGTGGTGAATATATAATTGAATGAATAAAAGTATGCTTTATCTCTAACATTTAAGCTTGGTTGGGCAACCATGGTGAACCCTGTTTTGTCAACATATGTGCCTTCGTACTCGTGCACCAGTTCTATTATACTCCAAACTCATCACCAAAAATATATGAAGTCATGCAATTCCATCACTTTCAAAAAGATTCTTGATTATTAAGGAATTTAGACTAGTCTAATGAAAGAAATAAAAACAGATGAAGGGAAATATAAAAGCGACCTAACCCAGCATAATGAAATGGAAATTAATGTTAAGAATTTCAGGATAATATAATAAGATCTCAATCTGGAACTTAGAATTCCATTGCAAGTTCTCTTTATTTGTAAATTTGAAAGAGAAGAAAAAGTAGCTATAAACTTTTTCCTTTGCAGCTCCCCTGCAACTTCATAATGGACAAAATAATTACAAAAGAAAAAGTTAACAAACACCTTTTATAAATGTTACCTATTCTTCAACTCCTACATTATTGTTCTTCAGCAAGATTCTCATATTCTTTTTTCTTATCATCATCATCATTTGTTATCTCTTCATTTGGTTCCTCTTCGAAATCCTCTGAATCATCATCATCGTCATATTCCTCTTCTTCTTCGTCTTCCTCTAGAATTTCATCATCTGATTGAACATACTGTAGCTTCAAACGTCCATCTTCTCGACAAGCATGCAAGAATTCCCACTCAGGAATTCTAATCTCCTTGAGAATAAACCTACCATCTTCCCTATAAGATCTAAAACAAACCCAAGGCTTTCCACTTCCTCCAATGCAAGAAATTGGAGGAGGTAATAATGACCCTTTATTTGTTCTTGAATATCTTTTGGAATATTCATGATGATTTTCTAACTTGGAATTAATGCATGTTGATCTAATTTCTTCATGTTCTTGTTCATTCTCATTACTCAAATAATTCATAATATCTTCAACATCATCAGAGCTTTCAAATCCAAGGCCTTCTGTACATAATGATAGAGTATCTGAATTTCTTGAGGAAAAGCTATCACTATGCTTGTAATGTTGGTTGCTTGTTGGATAAATGGGGTCCTTGTTTTTCTCTTCAATTCCAGATTGGTGGATTGTTTCTAGAGAGAATGAAGAAGAATTATAAGAAGAAGATGTTGATGATAATGAAGAGGAGGAGGCAGACAATGGAGGTAGATTAGAAGAAAAAGATGAGATGGAGGAGGAAAAGGAGGACTCAGAATTGTTATCTTTTAAATCTAATTCTTCAAAAATCTCTGTAAAGGAGAGGGAATCAAGAATTGTTGAATTTTCTGCAAAGATGTGGTTTAGGCCTCCACAGGCAGCCATTATTCAACTCTCTCTAGAGTTGTTGCCCAGAGAAGCAACTAAAAGAGTTAAACTTCAGGTTGGTTTTTCTAATGGAGCAAAACATGCATTCTTGTGGTGGGGTGCATGGGATAGGTGTCAATGAGTTTCATTGATAATTTTATCAAGAAATTTATAATATATTGGAGTAAATTTTTATTAAGTTATTACGTATAGCTAAAATTCGGCTTTTTTAAACCGTTCCAATTACGTCGGTTTAAATGGGAAAAATGTTGGAGAAGCGATGAGCTGAGTTGGACTTAGAGATAAGGGAATGGAATTGCTGATAAAGTCAAGAGGAATGTGTTGTTTTTATTAATGGTGCTATTTTACAGGAGTACCTCTCACTTGGGAAATGGAAAAAGGATTGGGTTGTTATAAAACTTGTGCTCATTTGGTGGTCTTTTCTATTCTAGAGGTTAAACAGTAAATTCTCTCTACCGAGTCAGCCTCAGCTCAGTTCAACCAAAGCTTTAATAATGAAGTACATCAAATAATGGACATATCTATCAATTTTTTTTTTTTTTTTTGGATGAGTACACTCAGGTTACTTGATGTTATGGATTGTAACACAGACCTTTCTAACTTCTTTCAAATTTTCCATAACAATACTAAAAATTTAAATTACAAGTTATCACGACCCCGGTTCGCCCTCCGTGAACCATCGTGACGGCACCTAGTCCCTACGACTAGGTAAGCCTAACAATGCGAAAAATAAACAATATTTGCGGAAGAAATAATTAAAAACCGAAATAGTGAGATAAAACAGTGTTTGAAATGCCGCTCGGCATACACAATATCAACTATTGAAACTAGTAACATTTCCCAAAACACGGAATCTCATGATCACAAGCCTTTGAATGTCTACAAGTATCTAACTCCAGAATAACTAACAAAGAAAGAAAATACAGAAGGGCTAATACTTAAGGGAAGAGTAGAAAGGGACTCTTCGGTCTGCAGATGCGGCAGATATACCTCGGAGTCTCCACAAGTGCCTCGCCTTAAGCGTGGTAAGTCTGAGTCGCAGTACTTGGATATGCACATGAAATATATGCGCAGGAAGGGCATGAGTACACCACAGCGGTACTTAGTACGTGCCAAGCCTAACCTCGGTCGGGTAGTGATGAGGAAGGTCAGGGCCCTGCTGAGGTTAAAGGAAATACAAGATATGATGACAGTGTAGAATAAGACAGTATACTTAAGTGCAACAATAAAAAGGTAACACAGGGTAGAAGAACAACAACAATTTTAACAGAAACAAAGTAATCACGGAAAAACAAATACAGCTCAACGCAGAGATAACAATCGGGGGGATCTCCCAGGATACCGTCCTGTAGTCCCCAAATATAAATATCTAGTGGATCTCCCGGGTGTAGTCCCGTAGTCCAACTCATAAATGTGCGGGGATCTACCGGAATACCACATCCGTAGTCCCAAATATAAATACTCAATACTGGGGGAATCTACCAGGCGCAATCCCGTAGCTCCAAAGTAAAAGTGCAGGGGGATCTCCTGGAATACAAATCCGTAGTCCCAAAGTAAACATACAGGGGATCTCCCGGGATACCGCCCCGTAGTCCTAAAGTAAACACACAGCAACAACAAGAAGAATACTCAATTCAATCAAATTTCACACGAAGGTAACGCAGGTATTTCGAACCTAGCATGCTGCACATAATTCAAATAGGGCAGTAGAACAAATAAGCAGTTAAATCAATTAGACATGCTTCCCTAAGCTAACAACAGGCTTAACTTGCAAGTAGTATAAACGGAAAGGAAAAAAACACAATTCTAAGTACTTAATGAAAACCGGATTTTTCAACAATTAGCACAAGTACGCACTCGTCACCTTACGTACAAGGCATTTCAAATATCAATAATATCAAATTCTAAGGGGAGTTTCCCCCACACAAGGTTAGACAAGCCACTTACCTCGAACCGGCTCCAAATCAACCAGAAACCACGTTCTTGCCACGAGTATTCGACTCCAAATGGCCCAAATCTATTCAATTTAACTGCATAATGTAAATAACACTTCAAGTAACTGATTCTACAAATAAATTCTAAGCTAATATGCGAAATTAGGTAAAATGACCAAAACGCCCCTCGGGCCCACGTCTCGAAATCTGGTAAAATTTATATTTTCAGAACTCTCATACTCTCACGAGTTCATGCATACAAAAATTATCCAAATCCAAGGTCAAATTCCCAATCAAAATTCAAATTCTAGGTGTAAGAACTTTCTTCCAATTTTCCCCCAATTTTCATCTCCAATCCGGAATTAAATGATAAAACTAACAATAGATTAGTAGAATACAACTAGAAAGGGATGAGGAATTTTTACCCAATGATCTTCTCTTTAAAAACCCCACAAAATCGCCCTACCCCGAGCTCCAATTTGATTTCTCCAAGTTTTTAACTAAACCCTCGATTCTGCCCCTTTTCTGCCCAGTGAAACCGCATCTGCGGTCCTGGGACCGCACCTGCGGTCTCGCTTCTGTGAAGACCCGGTTGCATCTTCGATTTCATTAAAGGGGGATATCCGCACCTGCGACTGCTCTACCGCAGATGCGGTGCCGCTTCTGCGGTGCCCTGACCGCATCTGCGATCAATTCTCTTCTAGCCTCAAACCGCTTCTGCGGCTGTTGGACCGCTCATGCGGTCTCGCACCTGCGGTCCCCAAGCCGCAGGTGCGGTTATGACAGCAGACTTGAAACTTCAGCTGCAACTCTCAACTCCAAACCTTTCCGTTAACCACCTGAAATCATCCCGAGGCCCCCGCGACCTCAACCAAAAGCACAGACAAGACATATATCACTACCCAAACTTATACAAATCCTCAAAAGACCTCAAACAACATCAAATCAACCAATTAGCATCGAATTCAAGCCTAAGAACTTCAAAACTCTCAAAATACGCTTTCGATCAAAAAATCTATCAAACCTCGTCCGAATGACCTGAAATTTCACACGTCACATTCAACACTACGGAGCTACTCCAACTTCCGGAATTCCATTCCGACCCTCGGATCAAAATCTCACTATCTAACCGGAAACTTCAAAATTTCAACCTTCAGCATTTCAAGCCTAAATTAGCTACGGACCTCCAAAACACAATCCGAACACGCTCCTAAACCCGAAATCACCCAACGGAGCTAACAGAACCATCGGAATTCCATTCCAAGGCTGTCTTCACACATCTCTGACTATGGTCAAATTTCCAAAACTTAAGCTCTCATTTAGGGACTAAGTGTCCCAAAACACTCCGAATTTCCAAATAAATCTTCCCGGCAACTCACAATAGCAGAAACAAATACGGGGAAAACAGTTAATAGGGGATCGGGGCGTTAATTCTTAAAACGACCAGCCGGGTCGTTACATCCTGCCACACTTAAACATTCGTTCGTCCTCGAACGAGCATAGAGATATACCTGAAGTAGTGAAAAGATGAGGGTAATGGCTGCGCATATCCTGCTAGGTCTCCCAGGTCGCCTCCTCGGCCGGCTGACCCCGCCAGTGAACCTTCCCAGATGCAATGTTCTTTGACCTCAGCTTTTGAATCTGCCTGTCCAATATTGCCACTAGCTCCTTAACATAAGATAGATCCTTGTCCAACTGGACTGAATTGAAATCCAACACGTGCGACGGGTCACCGTGATACCTCCGGAGCATCGAAACATGAAATACCGGGTGAACTCCTGCCAGGCTGGGAGGTAAGGCAAGCTCATATGCAACCTCCGCAACACGCCTCATTATCTTAAAAGGGCTAATAAACCTCGGACTCAGCTTCCCTTTCTTCCCAAATCTCATAACGCCCTTCATAGGCGAAACTCGAAGCAGAACCCGCTCTCCAACCATGTAGGAAACATCATGAACCTTCTGGTCCGCATAACTCTTCCGTCTGGACTGGGCTGTACGGAGTCTATCCCGAATCACCTTGACCCTCTCCAAAGCATCCTGAACCAGGTCTGTGCCTAATAATCTAGCCTCACCCGGCTCAAACCAACCCACCAGAGATCTACACAGCCTACCATATAAAGCCTCATACGGTGCCATCTGAATGCTAGACTGATAGCTGTTGTTGTAGGCAAACTCCGCCAATGGCAAGAACTGATCCCAAGACCCTCCAAACTCAATCACACACGCACGGAGCATATCCTCAGGAATCTGAATAGTGCGCTCGGACTATCCGTCTGTCTGAGGGTGAAATGTTGTGCTCAACTCCACTCGAGTACCTAACTCATGCTGTACGGCTCTCCAGAACCGTGATGTGAACTGAGTACCTTTATCTGAATGATGGAAACTGGAATACCATGCAGACGGACAATCTCTTGGATATAAATCTCCGCCAACCGCTCTGAAGAATAGGTAGCACACACAGGAATGAAATGCGCGGACTTGGTCAGCCGATTCACAATAACCCAAATGGCATCGAACTTCCTCAAGGTCCGTAGGAGCCCAGATACGAAGTCCGTGGTGATCCGCTCCCACTTCCACTCCGGAATCTCTATCTGCTGAAGCAATCCACCTGGTCTCTGGTGCTCATACTTCACCTGCTGACAATTAAGGCACCGAGCTACAAACCCAACTATATCTTTCTTCATCCGCCTCCACCAATAGTGCTGTCTCAAATCCTGATACATCTTCGCGGCACCCGGATGAATGGAATACCGCGAGCTATGGGTCTCCTCTAGGATCAACTCCCGAAGCCCATCAACATTGGGTACACAAACTCGACCTTGCATCCTCAACACCCGGTCATCACCAATAGTCACATCTCGAGCATCTCCACGCAGCACCTTGTCCTTGAGGACAAGCAAATGAGGGTCATCAAACTGACGCTCCCGGATACGATCAAACAAGGAAAATCGAGAGACCACGCAAGCTAGAACTCGATTGGGCTCCGAAAGATCCAACCTCACAAACTGGCTGGCTAAGGCCGTAACATCTATCGCCATGGGCCTCTCTGCTACCGGTAAATAAGCCAAACTCCCCAAACTCTCCGCCCGGCAACTCAAAGCATCAGCACCACATGGCTCCCCGGTGATACAAGATAGTGATGACATAATCCTTCAGCAGCTCTAGCCATCTCCTCTGACGCAAATTAAGGTCCTTCTGCTTGAACAGATGCTGCAAACTCCGGTGATC